CAGCTTTTGCATTACTGTGTGGAGCATAACAAAGCATAGACACCAATTCAGGAATGCTGCAGTGACTTAGTTATGTGAACAAACAAATGCACAGTCTGTGAAATAAAGGACCAGTCATGACTCACAAAGGAAAACGCCTCACTTGAGCCTTTTTGCCTTTTCACAATCCGAGTGTCTTCCCAAAGATTCTAATAATACCTTTACTGGTTCAACTTAACCTGAGAAGACTGTTGATAAGAATGCAGTTCTATCAAAAGACTTTGGAAACATGCTGCTACCTGTTACTGCAAGCTTTGAGAGCATTTAAATAAATTTAACCAATCTAATCACCAAAATTAGAGTTTGATTTTATTTGATTGTTATTTGATTTTATTCATGTTGCAGTGTGACATTCTGTCATGTGACCTGCTGAGGTTACCTGAGGCAAGGTGTGAGTGGAGACTGAAGTGCCTAAATAGCATCTCAAGTCTGCATTATAGGTGGCTGACAGCTGGCGTTGTAATTCACCACCTCCGTTCAACGATGGTCTTTCACGGTGGCAACCTCTAAACAACCTAAAGTGGTGGGGCAAGGTCTCAACTTTAACCTCATATGATGGTGAAGACATCTTTTTTTTCTTCACACCCTGGCTAATGTGATGACTCGCATGATCAACAACCCTCGGGACCACCTGAGAAAAACTATTAGGGGTTAAATACCTGAGACACAACCATTTGTTTTAGAACTGAAGGAGCCTCTTGGTGAAACATCTTTACAAACTAAATACAGCCTTCTTTTTTCAAGCTCTCAAGACGCACCCGTGACTTGTTTTGTGTTTCTTATCTTTACCTGTTAAAAATACATTCACCCAATGTTCCCAGTCTACATAGTTAAGCTTGCTGGCAGCATGCCTTCTCTTAGCTATGCTACCTTACGGGAATTACACACCTCAGTCCACATGTCCTCATCTTGCATTACCTACCTGCTAATTGGTTTGGTTCTCAGTAATCTCAGTTAAGACCACTAAAACACTGAGTCCTCGCCAGGTTGTGACAATGTTAGAGCTCATACAGAAACAGCTCCAGGGTTGTTTTGTGCAGGACGCAGGCCAAAAGTATTCTCCTCTTACCGTCTTTCTCCACCAGAGTAAAAGGCTCTGTGTCCCAGCCGTCACTGATGTTTGCTGGCTGAACATCAAGGTGCCCGTAAATACACACCGTCTTCTTTGCTGGGTCTGATCCTAACTGCCCCAGGATGATAGGAGGCAGGGGGATCTCCTCTCCCGAGGGAAGCTG